CTGGAAAAGCGAAACATTATGTGATGTTACTCTGCAAGTTTAAAAAAATTCTAGCGGAAGTCATTTTTCAATGCTGTAATTTAATATTTACATATCTTTATCCAATCGACCTCCTAGCTTATGCCTTTATATTATGTCCTTGCATACATTTTTTCCTGTTTATATATTAATTCTGCCTTCTTCGAGGTAGAAAATTTACTGGTGGGCCTTTAGCAATCCCACATATTTTACATTTTTGCGATATTAAACCTAAACCAAAATCAAATCAAATTAATTTTAGACGCGTCAAAAACTATAAAGCACTTTTCGACAACACCTTGCTATTTATTATTGGCAAATGGGCGTTTTGAAAATATAATCATTACCAAAATCAAATCAAACTTTGTGCAATTCTTGCCAATGCCATCGATGAATCAAAAACGACACATTCAACTGCTAACAAAATATTTGACAAAACCAAAAAAAACAGAGATTTTCGTGGTGGGGAAAAGGCTTAAAGACGATATCACCACATGGCACCAGACAACAGACAACTACATTCTCCGCCACTTTCTTCTAAACAAAAGCTCCGTCCCTCCATATTTTTTTATACCTAATTTGGTTAAACAATCATTTTCTTGCTACAAATCGTTAAAAAGCAAACTTAAATTACAAGAAATCCATAAAAACGCCCATTTAAAACACTTTCGTTTTGTGGAGGCCAAATTGCAATGCGGATTTGGATTAACCAAATCCATTTGGAAATTTTACATTTCAGTCAAAGCCATCATTTGGTGTTAGTTTGGCTTATCTTATCTCTGTGCGGTCTATCTCCAAATTGAGGAAAATAAAGTTTTTCGAAACAACACCCACTTCAAGAAAATCGTTTACATTGCACGGCTTCTTCTCCCTAAATCCTTTTGCCATGTTCTGGTACAATATTCATAATTTGCACGCCCTTCGATACCTTGCAAAGGGTTTTTTCTTTGAAAACAACAGAAGCAAAAAAATTGTGAATCTGAAAATTTTCTGGCGCTAACTTGTTATTTTTCCTTCTTCCTACTCTTGTCCTTCCTCTTCTTCTTCACAGTGCAAAGTTAGTTATCCTCCACTTTGTGGTGAATATTTAAATTGTATTTTTCCTTATCGAATTTGAAATCGTTGTTTAGGTGGTGGTTGCAGGGCAAGACATGAACCTTATGTGATTATGATTACGTGACATTTACGATTTCGTTTGATTTCCCTGTCCTCCGCTACCTTGCAGTAGTTGCTGTTGCAGTTGTTTTCATTTTTTTTTCAGCACGTTAGGAGCAAATTTATGAATTGACGGGCATTTTTCGCCCCACTTGCGACCAGGCAATTTTAGTTTTGTTTGCCAAGCATTTGTCAACGTTAAATTTATGGTGTAATGCCAAAATAATGATTTCTAATGAAAGGTTACAAAATGATTAAATCGGAGGTGTGTGTGAGTCGACGCTGCCGTTCTATTTGGTAAAATGAAATCAAGATATAAATTCGCTAACAAGAATAAGTACAAGGAATTCCTAGGAAATGTGCACATTTTTTGGGAAAATGTAGATGTTTGGTGATTTAATGGGTTCTTGTTAGGAGAAGTGAGTTTTGAGAGGAAATGTTTTAGGTCACACCAGCAAGAAGTTGGCGAAAAGTCTACATTAATAGATAAAATGTAAATCGATTTCAAAATTAAAATTTCCATAAAATTTTAGACTGACTTCGTACGAAAAAGGACTTGAAACATTCTTTATTTTTAAGTTTAGAGACAGATTTGGAGCTTCACACAAGGGATAGAAAATTCAGAACTTTCCAAAAACCGCTTCCTTTAACACATATGAGCATTTACACCAATAATACAAGAAAAAAAAACAGTAAATACAGGGTGAAATGAAAAACTGCAACCAACTTCAGACTGCTGTCATTTCTAAGCCACTCGTCCGACAGCTGTTAAAATTATTGCAGTGACAGTTCATTACATTCTTTACAAGCGTACAAAAGCATTTTGGTGACAATTTTCCAGAAAAAAAGTTATTCGTGATAGAATTCAAGCCTGATAGTGTGATTTCTTTATATTCGTCTGGAAAACCACAAGTGGCTATCGTTAGAGCACTCCAGCATTTAAATGTGAATAAATCATTTGTGTCTCGTACCATCACTCGTTACCGTGGTAGCGTAGCCCGGCGTTAAGGAAGTGGACGCAAGAAAACAGCAACATCAGCAAAAATGGTTCGAAAAGTAAAGAAGCGATTTGGTTGAAACCCGCGTCGCAGTGGCCGAAAAATGGCTCGTGAGCTGAACATATCGTAATATTCCATTCGGCAAATATTGAAAAAGGAGCTCGGGGTAAAGCCATTGAAGTTCGAAAAAGTGCAAGAACTTACACCGCAACAGAAGGAAAATAGACTCAAAAGAGCCAAAGATTTGCCTCGCTTGGCCGAAAGTGGTGAACTGCCGAATTTGGTTTTCTTCGATGAGTTTGTAAACAAATAAAATGATCGTGTTTACTTGCCACAGACGTCAGCTGAAAATGTGCATCTTCGGTTGGCCACCAGAACTCAAGTGCCGGCCATGGTGATGGTGTGGGCCATAACAGCCGATGGTCGCTCTCCGCTCGTATTAATCGACCATGGCATCAGATTAAATGCCGAATATTAACGCGAAAATATTTTGGAAGGTGTATTAGTGCCTTGGTCATGCAAACATTTTGGCCGCAGACCTTAGATATTTCAACAGGGCTCAGCACCATTGTACTCAGCACGCGCCACCCAAGAATAGTTATAAAATGTGGTTCCTCGCTTCATGGCACAATGACCACCAAAATCTCCGTATACCAATCCCGTGGACTATTGTGTTGGGAGTATTTTGGAAAGCAAGGTTCGCACTAAAAAATACGAAATTGTTGCCTCAAGCAAGCGCTCCGCCGTGAATGGGCCAAAATACCGCAGAGCAACATGCGGGCAGCGTGTGATGGTTTCATTGGCCGTTTGAAGGCCATAATTCGTACCAAAGGTGACCAATTCGAACAAATCTAAACTTATTCTAAAATATAATGCTATTTCCGACATTATTGGCTTCCATTCAATAAAATTAAAAGAAAAAAAGTAAAAATTATGGCGTCTGAGTTTGTTGCAGTTTTTTTTTTTATCTCACCCAGTAAATGGTACTTTTTAGTACTTATTTCTAATGATTCTAACCCAAAAGTACAGAAGTTTTGCTTCATATGTAGTACTAATTTCTATATGCACTATGCAGTCTATCATCTCATCAAGCTAAAGGCACGAATTTTAGGAATTCTAGTTTGACTCCTTAGAGTTTTGTATTATTTTATTACCAAAAATCTACGATTTCCTCCAAAGTTTTATTTTTCTGACATAGTATCATATTCAGAACTTTGTTTTGCTCAAGGACGAACCCTTTTGAAATTGGTGATAATCGGATCAGATTTAGATATTGCTCACATATATCTTCATCCAATTTCGGGTTAATTGCGCACCAAATGGCCAATATTTAGTCCAAATGACCTGTATTTCGGTACATCCCACCGAATTTAGTCTAGCAGCAAGTTAACCAAATTTGGAGAGAATCAATTCAGATATAGCTTCCATATATATGTTTCATTCGATTCGAGGTTTTAACTCCCTCACAAGCGTAATATGCATTTCACAGCAATGATTTTTGGTACCAGATATCAAATACATATCTGAAATAAGTGTATCAAATTTGGTCCAGGCCTGTTCAGATTTGGATATAGCTTCCATATACATATATCTTTAACTGATGTTGGGTAAATTGTGCTAATATGGGCTAATATTAGCCCATATGGACTGAATTTCGACATATCCGACCCAATTCATTCTAGAAGCAAGTACATTAAATTTGGTGAAAATCGGTTCGGATATAGCTATAGCTCCCATATATATGTTTCATCTGGCTTGGTGAAAACAATGATATTTGGTACCAGTTATCAAATACAGCCCAAATATATGTACCGAATTTCGGAATATCCGAAAGAATTCAGTCTAGAAGCAAGTACATTAAAATTGGTGAAAATCGGTTCAGATGTGGCTATAGCTCCTATATATATGTTTCATCCGATTTGGGGTCTTAAGTCTCTCACAAGCGTAGTATGCATTCGACAACAATGATATTTGGTACCAGATATCAAATACAGCTCTAAAATAAGTGTATAAAATTTTGTCAAGATCGGTTCAGATTTGCATATAGCTCCTATATATATCCTCAACCGATTTCGGGGTAATTGTGCACCAAATGCCTAATATCAGACAAAATAGACTGAATTTCGACATATCCGACCCAATTCAGTCTAGAAGCAAGTACATCGAATTCGGAGAAAATCGGTTCAGATATAGCTATAGCTCCCACATAAATGTTTCATCTGGCTTGGCGTTTAACTCCCTCACATTCGTAATATGCCTTCGACAACAATGCTATTTGGTACCAGTTATCAGATACAGCCCAAATACAGCTCTGACAAATTTTATCAAGATCGGTTCAGATTTGGATATAGGTCCCATATATGTATATATCTTACCGATTTCGGGTTAATTGTGCACCAAATGACCAATTTCAGTCCAAAAGTCCTGAATTTTGGTACCTCCAACCATATTCAGTCTAGAAGCAAGTACATCGATTTTTTTTTTATTTTTCCTTACTGGTTTTAGTATCATTTCTATTTTTAAATACCACATTATCTGAAATCCCGTATCAATGGCATAATTTTAAGATTCTATACCTTAAAGTACAAAATATCATCACATTTTCTTTTTTATTTTAGTACGGTTGTCCAAATACCCTGCTTAAATGCTTTCTACCCAACAGAAGGTACCTACGTTCCAAATTTGAAGTTTCTAGACCAAGCCGGGAGTCATCTGGGAGTTGATGAGGAAATTAGCCACTCATATTCTACAATTATATTTATGTAGATGAAACTGTGGTAAGAGTAATCTCCCCTTCTCCCACAATCTTTTTCTTTTTACGATACTTACTTTCACTGATATGCTGGCGATTCTTTAAGCCCAATATAGCATCGATGGTATGACGTGGTGTCAGAGTTTGATTTGTATTTCCATATTTGCGAACATTATCCTTGTGCGATAATTCATCATCTGTAAAAAAGAGAAGAAAAATCAAAAAAGGACATTGATTGCATTATTAAAGTTAATATAAATTGGGTCACTAAAAATATGACCTCGTTAATCAAAAAACCTGCAGAACACATGTCAATAAAAATTAAATATTAAACAATAACAACTAAACACAAAAACACAAAAATTGCTAAAATGAATGATAAGCCCCGACAGTCAGCCGTTACACGTTAGTATCATGTTAGTTTTGTAAGCAATTCAGAGTGCATTAAATGTTTCGGTTAAATTGTTCAGATTCAAAGTAGTGGTCAACATGCAAGGTGCAACAGTAGCAACCCCCATGTACCCACACACACTCACATATAATCAAGTTAATAAACAAAGCAGCCATAACGACGAACAAGACCATAATTTTATCAAATGGCTAAATTTGTTAAAAAATTAAAATTTCATTGCGAAAAAGAGACGACAGCGACGAAACGACCTAGAAATTCGATTAAAGGAAACGATTGCGGGAACAGTATTAGCCATAATGGGGCTTTCATGTTGCCATGCATATGCATGTTGGTATTTTAGCACACATTTTTTTAAGTGGTGCACTCTACATTGGGGAATGGTGGGATATACTAAGTTTGTCAGTTCATAAAAGTGAAATTTCTTAGAGATTTCACTAAAAAATAAATGTGACTTTTGTAACAAAAAATAACAATGGAATGAAGTCTGACTACTCTACAACAAGAAAATAACGACGGTATCCAAAATAAAATTCCAATTCCGCTGTTAGATTTTAGAGATATTTCTGAGGGATTATCGTGGAACTTCTAAGCTAAGATGTGGGAATATCAGGATTTATATGATATTTGTATTTTTATTTTAAGACATACCACTGTTGTTATATTGAAGATTTGAGGGCTATATCTGGCGGCACTGTCGTGTAGTTTTTAAGATATTATTTGAAGAAAAATCAACAAGTTTATACAGATATTTCTGCCAGGAGCTTGGTTAAAATTCTGAACGCAATTTCTGTAGGAGTATCGTGGAGTTTAAAAAGATTTTTCTTGAAGTATACTTTTTTTACATATATTTCTGGTACTAATTTTTTAGATAGCTCCCTTAGAAATAGGCTGTTAATAATATCTTCGGTAAAAAAAGAAATATATTGAAGAGCTATGCGGGTGATTTTAAAGGTATTTCTTGTAAAAATATTGTGTAATGCATATGGTGGAATTTAAAACGATTTTTCTTGAAGATGTGTTGGAGAATTTGAAGGATATTTCGGAAAAGATTATCGCGGAATTTTAAAGGTACTTCTTGCAAGGGCATCATATTCTTTATGTAAATTCGGATTTTGGAGGACTATCTTGAAGTCCTTAAGGATATTTTTGCTGCACAACTGATATTCATATGAGAAACAACAAATATCCAAGAGATTTTTAATATTTTATTCCTTAAGGACTCTCTTGAAGTCGTAGTGAAGGAAGAGGTGGAAGGGTTATTCAAGGTCTAATCAAGCTGGGTTTTCATTTTGAACTTGTAGGATTGTTTCCCTTCTTTTAAAATCGAATACATTGAATGGATTTCATTAAAATATTTTCTTCAAGGACTAATAGTCCTTCATTAGTATTTTTTAAGAATATTTTCCTAGAGCTTACATCCCTATAATCGTAAGTTTATAAGGATTTTTTTTAAAGGCGAACAAGCCAACAATCATGGATTATCAATCCATGGATATGTTTTTCAAGGACCAAAAGTTTTTTCTGAAGCCCTACTGCCATGCTTTTGATACCCTACGCCACATAGTGGTAGGGATATTATGTCTTTGAGCATTTTGTGTAACATAGAGAAGGAAGCGAGGTAGAGATGAAAATTTTCCAAACAATATTTGTTTGGCCCAAGGACGATCCCTATTGAAATTGGTGAGAAGCGGTTCTAGTTTAGCTATAGCTCCCACATATATCTCCAACCGATTTCGCTTTAATTGTGCACCAAATGGACAATGTCAGTCCAAATTACCTGAATCTTGGCACATCCGACCGAATTCAGTTTAGAACCAAGTACATCAAATTTGTAGAAAATCTATTCAGATATAGCTTCAGCTCCCATATATATTTAATTGTACACCAAATTCATAATATCAGCCCAAATGGACTGCTTTTTTTTGGCAATTCGGACTTTATTAATCCTAGAAATAAGTACTTTAAATTTTTAGAAAATCTCTTCAGATATAGCTACAGCTCCCATATATATGTTCTATCCGATTTGGTGTTTTATGTCACTCACATGCGTAATATGCACTCCAGAAGAATGATATTTGATAGCGGACATCATATACTGCTCGAAAATACCCCTGTTAAATTTATTCTTTTCCGATATCAGATTTATTGTGCACCAAATGGCAAATATCAGCCCAAATGGACTTTACGACTGGATTCATCCTATAAACCAGTACTTCGAAGTTGGCGTAAATCAGTTCAGATATATTTAAAGTTCCCATATTTATGTTCCGTCCGATTTGGGGTTTTAAGTCCCTCATATGCGTAATATGCAATAATCAAATATAGTTCACAAATAAATGTTTAAAATTTTGTCAGGATCAGGACAGATTTGGATGCCCCCATAAATACATTTACCCGATTTCAATTTTTTGTGCACCAAATGGCTAATGTCAGTCAAAATGGACTAATTTTTGACAATTCCGACTTTATTTATCCTAAAATCAACTGCTCCAAATTTTGGTTAAAATCGGTTCAGATATAACTATAGCTCCCATATATATATTTCAGCCGATTGGGGGTTTTAAGTCCCTCACATGAGTAATATGCCCGCCACAACAATTATATTTGATACCAGGCATCAGATACTGCTCGAAAATACCTCTGCTAAATTTTATAGAGATCGGTTCAGATTTTTATATAGCTTCGATATAGATCTTTATCCGATTTTACGGTTATTGCTCAAAATATTACATATTTCAGCCTAAATTGAAAATTTATATTCAAACGAATTTTACCATTTGGTCCGGCATATCCAATATTGTTCCAATAAATAGATTTTAATATAATCCTTGTTGTGTGAGCTCTACGAAATAAGCATAGTGGTGTAGGGTATCAAATGGTCCGCCCCGCCCGATTTTGGACTTTCCTTACTGGTTTGAGAATATTTGTGAAGGCTCAGAAGACACATAATTCTATTTTTTTCTTTTTTTTGAATAATCGAGTTTTAAAAATAGTTTTTCAAGGATGAAAAAGGACATTCGTTTATTGTCTTCAATTTGAACATTTAAGTTTTTTATTAGAATACCAACATCGGTTCGGATTTTGGTCATAATAATCGATTTTTTTTATTTATTTTTTTTTTTTTTTTTGGGATCCTAGTCCATTATAAAAGGCTTTCAAAATTCGATGCAACCATAATTTTTTGCCAGTTTTAATTACAGTTTCATTTATTACAGTTGCGAACACTTGTATATGTGTGCGTGAATATCCTTCTTTGTTTTTTTTTCCTTGCTATGCGGTGCATTGAAAATTACTCTATAATTAGTTTTAATTTTCAAATGATTTCATTGTAAAAAAATTTCGTTTTGCTAATTGCTCTTATTAAAAACGCAGGGATCAGGTGAGGCAGAGGAAAATGGGGAAGGGGAATCAACGTGCATTTGTGTTTTATTATTAAACAAAGTTGACAACATGTAAACGAGTACACGTGTTGCTGGTGGCCAGCCAGTAGACTGTTGCATACCCCACCCACAAGGAAAAGGAAACCTGGCGCTTTTTTTCATTTAAAATTTAAATGCGTGCCTGAATGCAATTTCTGTTAATTAAATCACTTTTGAAATGTCCTGTCATTTAATGAATAATATGAATCTTTGGCAGGCCATATTTGAAACATGCCAGTCGGTTGTGTTCACATTGTTGCACGATTTTTTTAAGTTCCCTCCAGTTGTTTTTTTCCGCTTCTTTTCAGAGGGTGATTAGCGTCGAAATGTATGACTATGTAAATATAAGGACTAATTGTTGCCAATATTGTCGTGCGATTATGCCATTCTCTAAACAAATTAAATGTTTTTGTCGTTGTTTCTGGGGAAGAGAGAGAGAGAGAGAGAGAGAGAGAGAGAAAATGCAAGTTTCCATTTCATTGCAGTTATGGCTATTTTTTTTTCTTGTCCTAATCTGATAACAAATATCGGTCGTGTTTGCGATAATTATAAAACCATTTTATGATGTTGATTTAAAATAGATAATTATAGGCCATTTAAATGTTTAATGTTTAATTAATGAAATTAGAGAATGTTATTAAGCCTTAATGCGACTTGTGGGCAATTGAGGACATTCATGGCGGTTGGTGTGCTTAATTTAGGTAATGAAAATAATTGCAATAAATGGAAATAGTGGAATAGAATACATTATAGTTTTTTATCTTTTCGAAAATGGTCGTTATTTTTTAACTAAACTACGATGAAGAAATTTTATTTTTCCTGTTTAATAGCAGCAGGAGTCTGAGAGGACATTCCATGATTGAAAACCCTGTAATTTTAAATTTATTACCAGAATTTAAGAACATTTTGCAAGGTCTAACAGCCCTAAAATTTTGATTATTTTTTAGCACTAACAATTGAACATTTTGAATTTTTTAGGAATGTATTTTGAGGAATTAATAATCGACAAATAGTGGATTCTTAAACAAATTTCAGGGTCTAACAGCCATATAATCGTTGAATTTTTCAAGTACTGACAGACCAACAATCTTGTAGTTCTTATAATATTTTTCAAGGGCCAAAAGCCTTTCAATAGTAAATTTATCAAGGACTGACAGGATAACAATCATACAATAGTTTAATTTTAGGGATATTTTTACAAGCACCAACCATAGAAGAACAGTAAATTCTTAAGTATAGAATTCAATCCAGACCAGCAAAAAGCTCTACGACCGTAATTAAGAATTCTTTTTTCAAGGGCCAATAGTCTCAAAATTCTTGGATGTTTTACAATTATTTTTTAAAGCAATAAATTTTTAAGAATGTTCCTCAAGGTATGGCAGGGCAACAATTCTGCATTTTTATCAATTAAAAAAAAAAACAGTAAGTTCGGCCGGGCTTTCGATACCATCCACCAATGGTCCGTACCAAAACGGAAACCTCTTGAGACAATTTCACACTACAAGGATTGTTATCTATTGCAAGTCTAAAATACCCTACACCATATAGTGGTAAGGATGTGAGGTCTCTGGGCATTTGTTTGTAACATGGAGAAGGAAGCAAGATAAACCCATAGTTACATTTGAGGATCCTCATAGAATCACTTTCTGAGTCGATTTATGCATGTCAGACCGTCTGTCCGTCCATGTATTCTTGTGAACAAAATGCAGGTCGCATTTATTATCCGATTGAGATGAAAATTTGCAAGAACGAAGCTTGTTGAAAATGGTGATAATCGGATCAGATTTAGATATAGCTCCCATATATCTTCAACCGATTTATCGGATTAATTGTGCACCAAATGGCCAATATAAGTCCCAATGACCTTAATTTTGGCACATCCAACCGAATTCAGTGTAGATGCAAGTACATGGAAATCGGTTGAGATATTGCTATAGCTCCCATATATATGTTTCGTCCGATTTGGTGTTTAAGTGCCTCACATGCGTAATATGCACTCCAGAAGAATGATATTTGGTACCGGATATCAGAACAATTAAGATTGAGATATAGCTCCCATATATATATATATATATATATATATATATATATATATATATATATATATATATATATATATATATATATATATATATATCCTTAATCCGATTTGCCATTATTTGGCTAATATCAGTCCAAAGGGAGTGAATTTCGGGACATATGTTTCCATTTTTTGCAACTCGGCTCCGATACATATTTTTTAAATATAATCCTTCTCCAAGTGATATCGTGCAAACTATAACTGCTCTAAAGCCAAATGTCGATATGAGGTACTTGAAATAAATTATTTTGTTACGGGAGCTCTACTAAATATGCATGGTGGTGTAGGGTATCATATATTTTCGGATTGATATTCCTTGGAAACTTTGAAATTTAGTGTCTTCGGCAATTTTACTGAATAAAAATACAAGGCTTATTTGGTCAAAATTTTGAAATCCCAAGGAAGTCAACAAAGAGGTTCTTTGTCCCTTTTTCTTAATAAGGTTGTATGGTGGTAAATATGGTCCCTTTAAAAGGAATCTTAACAAAATAATTTTTCATGAAATTTCGAAATTCACGACAACTCTAACTACTACCTTAACGCAAGATTTCATAAATATAAAAAGCATATTTTAGGGCAAAAACAGCATTTCATTTGAATTTAGGCAAAATTTTAAAAATTCCCATCCAAGACAAACATATTCTTGATCAAATTTTACGATAGGCCACCAAAAAAGAGACTTTTCTATTAGCATTGTATATGGTTTATGCAATTTTTTAGCATTTTTCCGGTCGGAAGCTTAGACCTATTTGAAAAACATTTTTAGAGGAATTTTCAAACCAATAAAGCTTGAAAATTACAACCAGTTTGACGGGAAATAGAGACAGAAATTCTTTAAATTGTCTAATATCAGAAAGTGGCGTTATACGAGGATTATACCAAGTAGAGGGCCCTCATTGAAATTTTTATGCAGGAAAACATTCTTCGATTGGAACTCGTTGAACCCTCGAAATAATAAAGTACCTCATATGTACGTTTTTAGTACCCAGAATTTGACTACACCGATGTAGTCCGGGGGCCTGCGCATCCTCCGAAATGCTAATTTTGTAGATATTTTCTAAACATTTTGTTTATAAAATCCAACTTTTTGCCCGTTGGCTTCTGCCAAATTGGTTTCACAAGATATTTCTACGAACGCTGATGCATAGCTACCGCTTTGCCGACGCCGGTACATCAAAATTGCAAATGGTTTACGAAATATTATCGTTTACAACACCTTTTCTTAGGATAGAGATTATAGTAAGGGTTAAGATATAGGTGAGGTAAGGGTTAAGGACAACCTGGGACGTAAACAAAAATGCATTTTGAAATCAATTTTGGATAAGGAGGAGGAGTGGTATCTAAAATTAAATAAAATGTGTGAAAAGTAATCATTTCGGGACATACCGGCCGCAGCCTGTGTACGTCTGTGGGCACATCCCTAACCAATGATAAAGAAACATGTTCACGCCATATTCGTTTTCCTTTTTTGAAATTAGAAACAAGAGAGATTAAATTTGTAACGAATAAGAAAGGAAGCGCAGATGCCTTAACGAATAAATAAACCTGTCAAAAATAGCCTAGCTTCGCTGCCAGATTTTGGATACTACCGCCGGTAAGAATTGCATGGAGACGGCAAGCCGCTTTTCCTGCGGCAGATTTAAACAATAACAAATATTTCGAGAGAGATCTCGTATTAGATTCCAGTAAGAAATCCAAAGAGATTTCAAAACAACTTGCTAGATTTTTTTATTTTTCTGTTCTAATATTACAAATTATTATTTTGTTTTTAATGTTTTTTATACCCTCTATGGAGGGTATATTAGCTTTGTCATTCCGTTTGTAACTCCTCGAAATATTCATAATAGAGCCTACAAAGTAGATATATTTTGGATCAGCGTAAAATTCTAAGACGATCTAGCGATGTCCTTCTGACTGTTGTAATCTCGCTATCTTTCGAACGAATCGAGATAGGAGACTAAAATTTTGCATATATTGTTTACCAGTAGACATGTTAAGTTTGTAAATAGGCCATGTTAGTCCACGTTTTCGTATAGCCCACATATAACGGTACCTCTCGACATTCGGTATTTTCATGATTTTAGCGACATTATTTACCGGAAATAATTTCGTATTTGAAGTTCGTTGTAGTACCAACATATGGCAAAAATGTCGTATACAGAGCCACGTCTTCGTATAGCCCCCATATAATGGTACCTCCCGATAGTCGGTATTTTGTTGATTTCAGCAACATTATTCACCGGAATAGTATTCAAAAAAAATTTTTTTTTTTTTTTTTTTTTTTTTTTTTTTGAAAATTGCCAATTTCCTTTCAAATGGTGGAGGTTGTTTAAAGTTCTTTCCGGACGAACGTAGCTGCTTTTTTACGTGTTTTAATTTTATTTATTTTTTTTTTTGCATTCCGACGGCTGTTTAAAAATATTAAAAAAATAATTTTTCCCCAAATTACCTTCACTTATGACGGCATTTTTATTCCCATTCTGTGCGAAATGTCCATCCATGTGTTCGAGATTTTTAAATTTCTCCACAATCATTTGAATGTTTTTTGGATCGCGTACATTTTCCAAGAGATTGCGAAAATATTCGTATTGTTTGGGTGGCACTTTGGCGGAACCGCCGCTATTGGCCACCAGTTTTTCGAATATATGTTGAAATGTTTGTTTCTGGACATCGGTTAGACCGGTGGTGATTGAAGCGGCCACCGCTGATGAGGCGGCCATGGGTGAGGGTGGTGTGGACGGCGGGGATGTTACACCGGATACCGGGTTTGATGTTGCCGTCGTTGATGTTGACGTTTGATTTGGTGGCGGTGTGGTTTTAATGTCCATTTTGTTGGGTAAATACTTTAGTTGATTTTTTTTTAAATTAGTTATTCACTTTTAATATTTTTAATATTTTTTTTTTAATTGTTACAATATTTTCATTATATTTTCAAAAATTTCTAAACACTTTGTTTTGATGCCAATATTTCAATATTTTTTTTTAATTTTTAATTCTGCAACAAAGCTTTTGAGCCTTTGTTTAGTTGTTGTTAATGGAATTTAATCCACTTGTCGCCGTAACGAGTTCAGTTATTTCAATGAATTAATCCAAGCAAAGAAGACGTTGTTTGTTGGCCAACAACATCTACTACCGTTCGTTCATTCGTTTGTTGCGACGTTGAGTTACGTTGCGTTGCGTTGCCTTACAAATTGGCGTTTAATTATTTGATTGCACAAACACCCACACACACTCACTGTGCTACGCTAAGCACACACATACATCTACACATCACTTTCGAACAAAACTTTGCAAAAAAGTTTTAACGCGTCGTCATTAAAGTCGTCGTTTACCATCAAGCGGAGCGCCAAAAACACGTTACGTTCTGTCTTAGAGCAAAGGTAGCAATAAACGTGAAACCCCATAAATTGTGGCACAGAAGCAATATTTCGTTCACCGTCCGGGCAGACAGACATTCAGTGTGATTGTTGTTGTAGTTGTGTGTACGGCAACAATCATTCTTCATTCCATAGAAGCCAGCCAGCCAGCCAAAGCAGGGGAAATAAAATTCAAATTGGAAACAAGTTTTAGTTGGTGGTTGTTTGGGTAACTCTCAAAAGTAGGCGGAGTCTCTCTAAAACTGTTATCTCGCAGCCAACATCACTCTCTCTGCATTGGCAGGGATTTGTGTGGACAAACAAACAGAATAGGTGTACAAAAAATATATCCTTTGTCTTCAAATCCTTGTACACAGAGAGTACTCGAAAGAGCGGCAAAGTTCTGTCTCAGCAAATCCCATGGCTGGTTGTTTGTTATCTACAGCCGCCCTTATTGTTCATCAGATGGTGTTGCAGCGCGTGCTAGCTTCTTTGTTCTATCCTTGCTAAGCTGTTTTTGTTTTCATCCTACCGAAAATTGTTGCCAAAAAAAAGCAAAATAGTGTGAAAACCTGGTTCTGCGGTTTAATTCCTTTATGATTGTTTAGCTAGCCATGTGTGTGTGTGTGTGTACGTGTGAGTATGTGAGTAATTGTTGTGTTATCTGTTTCCTTGTTGTGTCACAGCTCCTGTTTTGTCAGAGAGATAGAGAGGGAGAGAGAGAGAGAGAGAGAGGGAGAGTGTTGCGTACGAACGTAAGGCATTAATTCTACTTGACTTGAAGCCATTGTTTAATGGCAACGGTAATAGACAAATAGATTACGGAGATTTAGATTGTGTTAACACATTTTACATTTTTTCTGTCGTTGTTGTTGTTGGTGTTGAGCAACAGCAGTAGCATTTAGAGCATAGCAAAGAAGATACAACTGCATTAGTGGTTAATTAGGTTTTTATTTGAAGATAAATCTAAAAATGCCGACATTGGATAATAAGATGCGAAAAAGTGAGTGTGTGTGGGTAACCTTCTTTATGTATGTCCTAGAAATACATAGGATATACTCGTTTTTCCAAATGTTGATAATTAAAGCTACCACAATGGGTTAATGCATTTCATGCTTGACATAGCAATTCCGGCCGCTGTAAAAATAACAAGAATTAAAAAGAGAATATTTTAATTATGAAGCTCATTAACACCGAAATAAGTCAGCATGTTCTTGAAAAGACGATTCAGCTAAAGGAGCAATATTGGTATTGGTTTTTAAAACTCTATAAAGATGGTTTTATATAGAAGTCTTTAATTTAAGGTAATGATGAAAGTCCCATCATTTCGCAAACAAAGGTTCTCTACTAAATATATTGAATTATTACGAGCCAAAGGGATCCTCACTATAATTGTTTATAGTAGATCTATACGCGGACTCCATTTAATGACACCATATCAAAAATTTTGCATAGAAACATGTTGAAAAGTATAAGTCGGTTTTGCCGACAGATGTAAACCTTCAGCCAATATTCGATTATTATAACCTCAACCATATGGCCAAAATTGCCTCACCCAAATAACGGTTTAGACCCTAGGTTTCTTTAAAACATATCTGTTTCATTACATTTGGAGTCGATCTAGCGATGTCCATCCGTCCGTTCGTCCACACCATCAAGTACTGCCCCCCACAAAGGGTCAAAATTTTGAATAATTATAACTCTTATAAAATGGGATGTAAATGTCAGATTTTCTTTAAATTACACACTTCATAATATTTTTATCAACCCAAGGTCTAGTGTAAAGATGGGATATATCATTCCAATCATTCTGGTACCTTCCCCAAAAGAGATCAAATTTCTAATGACCATGAAGTTCATAAAATCTCAATATTTCTGTCAACAAAAGATATTTTATGAAGATGGTAGAGATCGGACCATTCCACCTGGTACCTTCATATTTCACACATCCCATTATTTCTAGAAACACAAGATCTGATGCAGAGATGTGATATATCGGTCCAACCCTTCTGGTATCTCCCACACAAGGGGTCAAATTTTTGAGTAACCACGAAGCTCAAATGTCTCAAGATGTCCATCAACACAAAATCTGTTATAAAGATTGGACCATTTCTTCTGGTACCTCCCCCCATATAGGGAGGATTTTCAAAAATAACAGGCTCATGGAAAGCGAAATACGCATCCAACTCTCTTCAAATATCACACATGCAAACATATTTGCTAACACAAGATCTTTTGTGAAGATGATATATATCTGCGAACCCCTTCTAGTACCTCACACGCAAAGGGTCACAATTTTCAATAATTTTATCTGTCAACAAGTCAGCGATTCTTTACGACATGTGTAAGAGAGACCTGAGATGAATATAGAATTTATGATTTCGGATAAATTTGTATATAAATTTTCGATTTCCTTGTAATTTTGCGCATACCAATATTTTTGTCTGTATTTGATGAAGTAGCCCCGCACAATAACATTTCTTAAAAATATCCCATAGCTCATATAAAGTATAGAAATTAACCTGTATAGTCCAAACCTGGGACGTAGCAATATTCGTATCATATTTATTTAGGTCCGACACGAAATGGACTATTTTTGCCCATTCCTTCGTAATCATAGCAGAAGTCAAAATACATTTAAGTAATTGATCATTGGCTGAGTGTATACATATCCTTCAAAATTACAAATACTGACACTTTAAAGTCTTTAAAGCGTTTTAAAATATTTGTTTTTAAAAAAATCAACGATCTATGTACTTTTGGTACAAATTTCTTTAAAAGTCATTTGTTACAACTTTAAGAAGCCTTCTGAAATATTCTTTAAAATCCACGATTACTGCCTTGGTTGTCCTTAAAAAATATCCCTTAAAATACTTGATTATAGCTGTAAGAATCCTGCGAAAAAATCATTAAAAATCCTCCACGATATTTCGAGATTGCTTTGAAAATCTAGAATCATGGCCTTGGGATAACTTCAGAAATATATATGTGGCAGCGAAAGACTTCCACAAAATATCATTGAAAAATTTTCGATTATAGCGAAAAATCCATATTTATACTTTAAAGGGGCCTTAAAAAATATGCATCAAAAAAATCAAGCATACAGCTTATTAAGGGTTCCTGAAACATATATTCCAACAAGTATTCTTTGAAATTCCTCCAAGAGTCTCATAAAAATATTACTAGAAAATCTTCGCATATGGCTCCTGGAATCCGTGCGAAAGCTATATTTCGTCCCTCAACGATATTATAAGAAATTCACGCATATAGTTCCCAGGATTCCTTAAAAAACATTCTAATAAAATCCACACTTATAGTACCCAGGGACACATTCCTTAAAAAATCTACGATATCAGCTCCTAGGTTCACTCAAAAATTTTTTTTTAAATAATCGTTTATGACTCTCGAATCTCATTCCGTTTGTCCAATAAAAATTATTCCGTTTTTAGTACATTGTAGTACTTATCGTAACTTTTTTAGTGCGAATTTGCAAAAACCCAGTCTTATAACACGCATACGACCCTCGTTAAAATATTTCAAGATTCTAGTTTCAGTGGTTTCGTTTGGACATTGATTCTCGATCTTTTATTTATATAGATATAACAATAGTTATGACCTTCATTAAATGCGAAAAATTCTCTTCAAACTTAGGTCATTGCAATATTTGTACTAAACTGAGATCTTATGTAATATTGATTTGGTACGTTCCTCAGAAAGAGTTTATAGTTGACAAATGCTGAATTGATAAGGTGTCAGAATATTGACTGAAACTTTCTACCTTGTTTATAGATTTTGAATACATTGACCCTATAAAATACTAATACTAAGGCAATCTCATCATGCCCGTCAGTCTCTTGTAATTGGGAAACTTTTCAAAGAAGATAAGTTCGAAATGTTTTGGCATGAAAACTGTAAATGCGAATATGGGTATGTTGATGATCCTCATCACGCTAAAATTGTCTATTTTGTGTTTCAAAACCTCCGAAAAAAATGTTTGCAGTAACCACATTTTCTAACCAATTTGCCTTAATTTTTGGATCCTTAGATGGAGAAAAACCTAGTTCTAAATTCACAGATGAACCCTCTGATTATTGCTCCTATGTTTAATTTTTTGGGAAAACGTCCAACAGACACCGATATCTTGGTAAAGTTCCGTTGATATCTTGTTAGATGTTACCACATATGCGACCTGATATTTTTATCTTATTGTTCTAAAATTTGGTTCTTTGGCGGTCTCTGCCGAATCAATTTTGATTTATTGGACCCCATTATCTTTTTGCTATACATGTTATTGCCATTTCAATCCGTTTTCTCTGTGTGTATATTAAAGTCGACAAACACAACTGGCATAATTAATCTGGTTTCCTTATATATTTAACATTACGCTTATGAAAATCATTATAAATAATTAACGATGGGGTATTTAAATCCTTTCGCAACGAGGAAATCTAATCATTTGCGGAGATCCAAAAATGAGAATTACCCTCTTTGAATATTCCCTCTTTGCAGTGAGTGTTACTCTCACGGCGC